TGACTTCTGCCCCTTCTGCTTCGGCCCTAGGTCCGGGGTGGTGTGCCGCGTCAAGTACTGCAACAGCCTCCCCGACATCCCCTTCGACCCCAAGTTCATCACCTACCCCTTCGACCAGAACAGGTGAGCCCGCGGGCGGGGACGGAGCTCCGAGGCCCCCCTCTAAGCCCGTCGCCCGGGAAGGGGCGCGAGGGCCTGGCGAGTCCTGCAGCGGGCCGGCCTGGATGACCTCTGGGGGCCCCTCCAGCTCCGGGGCGCTCTGGCGAGGGCTTCACTTCTGCTCCAGCCCCCGCCGGCTTCAGTTGGGGGGCGGACAGTTACTGGCGCGCTCCTGCCCCACCTTTATGCACGTTAGTGAAAATATTCCAATTTGGGAAACCGCTTTGCCTTTCTGAATCACTCCAGGGAGCTGAAGCCCTGCGAGCGCACACCCAGCAGGAGAGGAGTGGTGCTTTCCTCCCGCTCTCCCTTTTACGGGCAGGGAGGTTCTTTATGTCAGTTCAGGCCTAGGTTTGGCTGGGGAAATGGATTCCATACTCGCATTACTGGTGCTGCACACTTCTGAGCATGATCGGGCTTTGAATTGTTGCTTGGACGTTTTCTGTGGATTAAGGTTTTTCTTGCTTCCATCCCTTTCCAGGTTTGTACAGTACAAGGCCACCTCTCTTGAAAAGCAGCACAAACATGACTTGCTGACTGAACCTGACTTGGGAGTCACCATAGATCTAATTAACCCAGACACTTACCGCATTGACCCCAATGGTGAGATGAACTCTATGTACACCCATCACAATCAAGGTTTAATAACGCGTGTGCAGATGGATGCTGGCTGGGGAGATGTGCCTGATTTATATGTGAGGAAAACCTGCATAGTAAATTTCTGGTACCCACTGAATAAGGGAGATAGCAGACAACTATGCTGCGAATTAAAATCCCTTAACAGATAGTCCTCACTTACCAACCACTCATTCAGCAACCGTTCGAAGTCGCAATGGTGCTGAACAAGTGGTACTTACGACTGGTCCTCAAAGTTCTGGCCGTCGTAGCACCCCTGCGGTCACATGATCACCATTTGTGACCTTCCCTGCTGGCTTCTCACAAGCAAAGTCAATGGGGAAGCCGGCAGGGAAGATTGCGAGTCATGTGGGTAAGTCTCCTGCACCCAAGCAGCAACCCCCGGGCCTGAAATTGCTCGCGCATGCTGCTGTAACTACCCACACACCCTTCCCCACCCAGCAGCTTACCTGCCCGTCAGCCTGCTTGCAGGCCAGTTGGGACTTGCAACTTCCTGCTGGCTTCCCCACTGACTTTTGATTGTGGGAAGCCAGCAGGAAATTGCAAGGAAGTCCTTGCTTAATGACCTGTGATTCAGGGACTGCCGGGATTGCTGTGCGAAGCAATGTGGTCACGTGATGTTGCGCTTTAAAACCACATTGCTTGGCAGTGGAAATTCCGGTCCCAATTACCATCATTAAGCAAAGACTACCTGTACGAAATATAAACGATAACATAAAATTTGTACACCCCCGATTGCTCCGTCTAACGTAGCAGGATTCAGGGTTGCAAAGAAGCAGGACTGCATCTCAAACCCCTGTAGAGTTCTCTGAGCATATTCATTGGAGGTGATCAGCCTCTGACCGTGTATGTATCCCTTTGGTTTCTTGTAGTTCTTCTGGATCCGGCAGATGAGAAGCTGCTGGAGGAGGAGATCCAGGCACCAGCCAGTTCCAAGAGGTAGCGCGCACACTTCTGTGTAATTACTCAGACACCACAGCACCCTTCTGCTTTGCTCCTGGGACTGCTGCCCCTTTTCTTATTCCAGATGCCTCTCGGTCTCCCACCTCAACCTGAGATTGTTCAAAGTTCCTTGCAGTTGTCCTGCATGACATTG